ATTTAATATTGTAATTTAAACGGAGAAATTATAAAAATAATAAAGAAGTTATATTTTGCTTTACTTTTACGTGTATAAAAATTTAAAGGGCTTGATACAATAATTTTCAATAAAAACTATTTGTTACTATAAATAAATGCACTGGACTACAAGGAACTTTCATCAGAAGCAAAAATATACTTTAAAACATCAACTTTTTGCGTTGTTTTCAAATCTGCAATTAGACTTTATCTATCAGTTCTAATTTTTTATATTATTACTAATTACATATAAAATAATAATTAAAAGAAAACAAAAATTGTTTTCAATTTATTATTGATTTGATTTTTAATATGTTAAAAATAATCAGTCCAAATTTTCATTTTTAACCTATTTTTTTGGTTCTTTAAAGTTGATGAAAAATTTTTGATAAAGATTTATGAAAGTTTATAGTAAAATAAATTGAATATATTACCATAACTTTTAGCTCAATTACAAGTNAAAGATTTATAGTAAAAAAAATTGAATATATAACCATAACTTTTAGCTCATTTCAAGTTTAAAATTGACATCTAGGCCAGTCAACAAAGGAAAAATAGCGGAAAAAATTGCCAACCAAATTTTGTTTTTTTAAAAGTTGAATTAAAATATTTATAATGACATACTAATAGTCCTCATTGATTGAAATTAAGCTTTTTTTTTTTACAGCCTCGCAAAAGTCCAAAAATATGAGCTTTTTTAATTTTTTCAAATAATATTTAACTTACAAAAAAAAGTTTCGTACAAAAGTTGTTTAAAAGACAATTATAAACAAAAAAATTATCGTATAATTTTTCATTTAAACAAATATTTTTCGAGTTACATTACATTTAATATGAGTAATAAAATTTATATTCCTTTTTTTTCATTTTACGGTTACTTTTTATCATGTTATACTTACATTAGACACAATGTTATAAATGCATATGTGTGTATGTGTGAGTTTATTTATTTATTGTATCATTAAAGTGTAGTGTATATTAATATACAAGCGATAGAGTAGGTAATTGATTTGACGCTATATTGTTTAAACCCATCTAAACGATAAATTGTACATTCCCAAACAACAATCATATTTAAATATCATTAGGATCATATTTAATTAAAATTAAAAAAATTGTAGGATTTGAACAATCATAAATAATATAATAGTAAATAATAGAAAAAATGTATAGAAAATTAAATTTAAAACAACGGTTAAATTAATTTCAACGGTAAAAAGAGAACATATACGTTTTTATTTTTTTAGGGTTAAATAAGAACTTTTAGAAAATTTTTGTAAAAATCTTTTTATAGAAAAATTATATACCTACAAAAAAATCCAAATAAACATTTTCGCAATAGCTAAAGTTTTTGAAATAGACAAAAAAAACTAAAAAATCACCCTTGAGGGGTTTTTTTTAACCCCCTTGGGGCACGTCTTAGAGTTGACCAATCGTCTCCAAATTTTGTACAATTTATTTTTTCATGTATTCGAATAATTCTAGGGGGTGGCACTTACAAATATTAAAAAAAAAAAAATTATTGATATTATTTCGATAAAGCAATGGGTGTTCCTATATAATTCACATTCACTTATTATTTTAAAATTTTTAGATACCAAGTCCTAATTAAAGGTATTTTTATTTAATCAGTAAGTCAGTAGTTGAGGAGGGGGCGCGCGCCTCCTGCGCCCTCCCCTCTGAATCCTCCGCTATGGTCTGCGAGACATTTTTATCAGAGTTAAAAATATAATTTTATTATTCAATTTTTCGTGCTAATTTCAAATATTTCATTTCATATTTCTATCACCACTAATTTTTGTTTAGTGATTACTAATTAGTTAAAAACTATAGAATATATTTATAAGGAAAATAGTTCTGAATATTTCAATTTTATCATTTACAGTATTTCCGAAACATTTTCAAAAATTAAGTTGAAAAAGTACTAGTTTCTTTACTAGTACTTTTCTAAGTTTTAAACACTCCTTGTATAAAAGGAAATAGACCGATTTAAAAAAAAGATGTCGTATTTATATAAAGTATATATAGAAAAAATTGTATTGTTCCATACATTTTTCAAAATATTACAGAAATATAAAGTTAAAAATGTAAAATATGAAATGGTAAAGGGTCAGATTTACAAAAAAAAATACACAAAATGATAAATAAATATCTCATTTATGTATAAAAAATAACTGTTTCTATTCATCTATTTTTCAAAAAGTTATGGGAGTTTTAAGTAAAAAAAATTTAAAAAATTTCGAAAATTACCGATTTTTAAATTTGTAATTTTTTTGACATTTTCCCCAATTATGTGCGGGGAACGAAAAAATTTTTTTCAATTTTTGAGGGTAATGTCTTCACAAAAAAATAACACATAGTAAAATTAATACCTTTGAAATTAATGCCTAAAGAAAAGTATTACACTATAATTCAGTAAAAGTATAAAACAACAAATATAACATTTAATACGGTAATCACGATACAGCAATTATATTTCTATCACCACTAATTTTTGTTTAGTGATTACTAATTAGTTAAAAACTATAGAATATATTTATAAGAAAAATAGTTCTGAATATTTTAATTTTATTATTTACAGTATTTCTAATACATTTTCAAAAATTAAGTTGAAAAAGTACTAGTTTCTTTACTAGTACTTCTCTATGTTTTAAACACCCCTTGTATAAAGGAAAATAGATCGATTAAAAAAAAAAAAAGATGTTGTGTGTATATAATATACACATATCCATACATTTTTCAAAAAATTACAGAAATATAATGTAAAAAATGTAAAATATGAAATCAAGAATTTTAACACAAAAATAGCATACGGTAGCGATTTTTACTATGAAGACAAAATAAAGTTCGAAATTTTTTATTGAATTGTCTTTTTCGTCGTAATTTTTGTACACAAGTTTCTTCAGTGAGAACATAATGAAAAGGGTTAGAATTTCAAAAAATATGTACTTAAAGAAAGGGAATTAACTAATGTATTTATGAAAAAATTTAATCCATTAATTTTTAAAAAAATTATGACAGTTTTAAGTAAAAAAAATGTATTAAATGTCAAAATTTCCCTATCTTTTTAATTTTTTAATTTTTGATAGTAATGTCTTCTACTAGATACGCTTTGTGATCTTTTGACATATCGTAAAAAAAATTCATCCAGTGACAGCTGAAAAATACAAGTAACAGACACAAAAACAAAATTAATAAACACATAATGATAANGATAGTAATGTCTTCTACTAGATACGCTTTGTGATCTTTTGACAAATCGTAAAAAAAATTCATCCAGTGACAGCTGAAAAATACAAGTAACAGACACAAAAACAAAATTAATAAACACATAATGATAAAATGAATACCTTCTGAGCATTGCATCGAAGCTAAAATTTAGTAATTTCACAGAAAAAAATTAATGTGCAATATAGTTATGTATATAATAAATTATTGTAATTGTTTTACCAACTTCTTGTATCATGAACACTTTATATAAAACAATTGCTGTCCATTATTCTACTTAAAATTAAATGTAGAGTTTCTGCTCAAATAATTTACCATTAAAAATTACAAATGAATATTAGATAGATATTATTTTAATTCATTGAAATGTATATCGCATACTACCATATGTATAAAATGTTCAGGAAGTAAGGAAACAGATAACCATTATTCTCATTGTATGTAATAATTGACAAGTTCCCTTACTTACTGAACATTTTATATATAACTGTATTTTAAAAAAATTTGTTCCAGAATTCATTCAGATTGTTTATTGCAAAATTCATTGTAGTATTAATCATTTCTGAAGGTAACTAAGCTATTTAATAAAATTTTTAGTCATGTCTGACTTAAAGTTAAAATTTCGGGCTTATTCCTATTTAGTTTAACTAGCTAAATAAATTAATGGTATGCATATTTGCTACTTAAATCGTAAAAACTGAATAATTAGATAAATAAATCTAGTATAATTACCGTAAGTGATATAAAAAAATTAAACTTTTAGAATATTTTTTTTAAACAATTAAGAGTTTTCCGAAGAATAATATGAAAATAAATAAGTAAAAATAAACAAAATCAACTTATTTTTAAGATTTTTATGTGTTTGTAGTATGTAGTGATTTTGTGAGCTATTTATTATAAAAAAGAACATTGAATATATTATTTTTGAATTTCTAGTAAAATTTTCTTAATGTTAGTTTTACTATCATAATTCTAAGTTAAGCAAAAATAAAGTTATAAAATAAAGATTATTTATTTCTATTAAAATTGTGTCATCAACTCTATTTAAGATGTTTGAACGCACGGACTAACCTTAAATTTTGCACAGCTCATTTTTATGATACTTTAAAAAAAATTAAAAGGTATCGTTAAAAAAAAATGAAATTCGATTTTTCAGTGTCACTTCAATTGTACACTGTACATACAATTTTGTGTGTCTAACCCCTCCACACCACTGAACATTTTTTTTTACTGATTTTTTAATATTCTATAATTGTTTTTATGCTTTTAAATTTAAGTATTTCAATATGATAATTTGAAATTCTTAAATCCGAAAATTTTGACATGGTGCTAATTAACGAGCACGCAACAACAGAGGATAAAGATGAGGATAACAAAAAGCTGTTTTACGCAACACTAGAAGATATGTTTAACTTGTCGAAAGGGGATATAAGATTAGTATTGGTGATTTTAATGCAAAAATAGGACGTGAAGAATGCTACAAATCAACTATTGGAAAACATAGTCTACATGTCAACACAAATGATAATGGTATCAAACTAATCAACTTTGCTTTAGGAAAAGGTCTGGTGGATAAAAGTACTATGTTCCCACGAAAAGACATACATAAATATACATGGGTCTCACCGAATGGGAGACACAAAAACCAAATTGATCACGTCCTAATAAATAATAGATTCAAAAATAGCATTCTGAATATAAGAACCTTACAAGAAGCCGATATGGATTCGGACCACTTATTGGTTGGTATATGGATGAAAGTGAAAATTAAGAAGTATAAAAAATGTAATCTAACAAATAGAGGACGAACAGATATAGCTAAATTAGCGAACAAACAAATATGTAAGGAGTATACAGAATGTTTTCAGAATATTATTTAAAGTAAACTATATATGGAAGGAAATGTAGATAAGACATGGGAACATGTTAAAGAAAGTATAAGTGAAGTAGCAGCGAAGGTGTTAGGGAAAAAAGTATCAATAACAAAACCGTGGTTCATTTGGATGTGTGAAGAAGCAGTGCAAAGAAGAAAAGTAGCAAGACAAGAATGGTTAATTAATATTAGCGATGAAGTAACGTTGAGAAGGTTTAGAACTCGCCAAAAGGAAGCCAGCAAGATACTGAGATGTGAAAAAAGAAAATACGTTCAAAATATATTAGAAACGCTAGAACTCGACTATAAAGCACACATGTATAAGCGAGTGAATGACCTCAGAGGTGGATACAAAAAGAAAGAAAGATTTCTATGATGATGGCTCCCTGATAACTACAAGTGAAGAGCTGGCAAAGAAATGGGTTGATTACTTTGAAAAACTTTTGAACTGTGAAGAACCTAATGAAGCGTACACATAAAAAGCCTAATTAATATCTTGAGGGAATTCCATTTTCAGGACAAGTTTATAAAACTGGTTGAGATAAGCATTTTGGAAACATTTGTCAAAGTTAAGGTTGAAAACATAACTACGGATCCAATACTAGTTAAATCAGGCTTAAGACAGGGGGACGTTATGTCACCAATCTTATTTAATTTAGTAGTAGAGAAAGTAATAAGGGAAATAAATATTGCACCGCAAAAAAAAGTCAAATTTCAGAAATCGTCCATAGGACTGCTGACTTTAACAGATGATCTGGTGAACATGGAGGAATCACAAGACGGACAAAATCTTTATTGAATCGGCTGGAGAAAGCAGTACTGAAAGTTGGACTTCATATTAATGAGAACAAAACGGAATATATGGTAGTAGAAAGACGAGACACCATAAGACTATATCCAACTCTTAACATCAACAACCGAGATTTCAAAAGAACTAAGCAATTCAAATACCTAGGATCAATACTTTCAGAGAGAAATGAAATCGAATTAGAAATAGGGACAAGAATTCAGTTAGGAAATAAATGCCTCTATGGTATTGCAAAATTACTGGGATCAAGATCACTTTCAAAGGATTTAAAAATACAATTATACATTACATTAATACGACCTGTAATTACTTATAGAGCTGAGACATGGCCGTTAAGGAAAAGTGATGAAAGAAAACTCTTAATTCTGGAAAGAAAAATACTGCGAAAGATTTTTGGCCCAGTAAAGGACACGGTAAGTGTTGAGTGGAGAATAAGAAAAAACGATGAATTAAAAACGCTATGATGAATATTGAAAGAAGAAGAGGTAGAGGAAGACCAAAAAAGAGATGGAGGGATGCTATAAAATGCGATATGAAGACAGCTGATATGAGCGTAGATAGTGTGGGAGATCATGTCAAGTGGAAGTTTGGGATAAGGGTGGCCGACCCATACACAACTTTTTTTTCTTTTCGCTAAACTTTTCTTTGTGAAGTTGCTTCACACAAAATATTGGCTCCATTGTTGACTTACCAGGCTTAAATCCAAACTGGTTTTTAGATACCGATGTTTCATNGTGTCAAGTGGAAGTTTGGGATAAGGGTGGCCGACCCATACACAACTTTTTTTTCTTTTCGCTAAACTTTTCTATAAGTTGCTTCACACAAAATATTGGCTCCATTGTTGACTTACCAGGCTTAAATCCAAACTGGTTTTTAGATACCGATGTTTCATTTATATTTATTACCTTTTCCCAAATTTTCGTACTATGACTCATAAGTTTTATGCTTCTATAATTTCCACACTTTTGTATGTCACCTTTACTTTTAAATGTCGGAACCACAATAATATTTCTCCATTCATTTGGAATTTTCCCTTCTAATAAGATTTTATTTAAAAGTTCCTTCAATCACCTTATGCTAACACCGCCTAATTTTTTCCATTCTTCTAGTGGCACATCATCTGGCCCTACTGCTTTATTATTTTTCATTGATACCACAGCTTCCCATATCTTTTTCTCACTAATTAAATCTACCAGTCCCTTATACCACAAGATATCCTCTAATATCTCTTTTGAGTACTCCTTATTCAGTAATTTTTCAAAATAATCTTTCCACCTTTTTTTCACATCATCGTCACATGAGAGTACCTTATTATCAACACTTTTTATACACCTTATTTACCTCTCTCTTACTTTTGCAAGTTTATAGATTTCTTTCTTGCCTACCTTTGTTCCTAGTCTATCATACAACTCATCATACCNCGATTACCTCTCTCTTACTTTTGCAAGTTTATAGATTTCTTTCTTGCCTACCTTTGTTCCTAGTCTATCATACAACTCATCATACCTCTGAACCCTTTAGCAGGCACGTGCCTATTTTTAACGATCATAGTCGTGTGGGGGTCAGACCCCATTTCTAAAAAAGTATAAAGTTTGTATAAAAAAGTTCATTTTTTTTAACTTAAAGACATTATTTGTTACCATATGATATATAAATATGGATAAAAATTCAATAATAAAAATTAAAAAATAAATAAATTACAAAATTATGTGCATTATTAAAAATTATATTACAAAAAAAAAACTCAATTTTCAAAATTTTATTAAAAATTTTGGTTTGTCAAAAAATTATTTTAACTGAAAAATCTTATTTTTAAGGCGGTAAACAAAAATTTTTACTATTCCAAAATGTATTTTAATTAATTTTTCTTGTATTTCTTTGAGCTCAAAAGCGGATTATATTTATTAGTTTTATGTGTATTTACATTTATTTAATCATTTCTCTGAATTGAATTTTTTTATTATTAATATTACAATACATTTAATTATTATGATACGAGTATATACAATTATTCTGAATCTGTTGAACATTGATTTTTCTCCCAACAATCTTTGCATACTGTTTTATATACGCTATGTATTTATTACATGTTTTGTTCTTATTTGTTCTGTATCATCGAATAGTGGAAATTCTCAATAGATTATTTATTTTTAAAACTTAATTGCTAAGTCAGTGGCAGATCCACATAATTTCAATTCCACAGTATAATATCGATTATAACATTTCATTTACGATAAAACGATATTTTGAAAAAAATACAAGTCCAAAAAAAAATTATAACGTTATAAGTCGCGTTATAGATGGTTGTTTGAGACATTTTGGTTGTCACGGCGTCTTCCCATCTAATTTCTTGAAGTGCTACACACTTTGTTACGTATCTTTCTAATTCTTTAACCAAGTCCATATCCGCACCTGGTTTGTGCAAGGTTCACACATTCCATGTACCACATAGTAGTTCCGTTTTCCAGTTTCCTATCGTTTTAACACATACTCTAGTCCGAGGCTAGTTGTATAAATCCTAAACAGAAATCTTTTTATAAGACAGGATTGTTGACCCTGCGTCCAACCCCTAAACTGGAGGACCAGATTACCCCAGCCAAATAAGGCTAAGGTATGATTACTGCAATATACCAATGGTATACTGGGCGATAGGGACGCTAGAAAGAAGAAAATCTATATTTTATATATTTCGATTTTTTTTTTTTTATAGTAAGGTATATTATATAAGCTTTAATTTAAGATTAAATAAAAGTGTCAATATTTCTGGAACATTTTCAAAAATTAAACTAAAAAGCTTAATTTGTGTGCAAAAATTGCTCTTTGAATATCCCCTTTGGGCAGGTTTAGAATCAGATTTTTAAAAGTTTATTTCAAATGAAAGAAAAATATATAAGGTTTCAATATAAAAAAAATTATTTTAATTTTTTCATTTTTCAAATAGTTATGGCAGTTTTAAATATTAAAATATATCATGTAAAAAAGTAATTTTTACATAAAAATTACCTTTTTCGTTAAATTCCACGAAAATAGCATTGTTTTAACTACGGCAGCCGTTTGCACGTAGAACATAAGGTGTCGGGACAAATTTTTTTTTCATTTAATAGTACATAAAATAAGCTTTAATTGAGATATGTTTAAAGGACACAGTATTTCCGGAATATTTTCAAAATGTAGTTTTTATAAAAATGCTATTTTAAATACCCTCTGTAAGCAGGTTAAGGGTTAGATTTTCAAAAAAATAATGTGAAATAAAAGAAAATATCTAAGGTTTTAATAAAAAAAAAATTATGTTGATTTGTTAATTTTTAAAAAAGTTATGTAAGTTATAAGAAAAAAAAATTGTAAAAATGACGAAATTTACCGATTTTGGAGATTTTTCCCATTTACGGGGAACGACAGAAATTTTTTTATAAGTAATGTCTTCAACTAGATACGATTTGTGATCTTTTGACGTATCGTTTAAAGAAATCGGTTCGGTGAGAGCTGTGTAATAGTGGTAAAAGTCACAAAAACACATCATAGTAAAATTAATACCTCCTCAGCTCGCATCAAAGTTAAAATATATGGATCAACACAATCTTTTAAAGATAAATACTATTATATACCTCTTTTATTCGTTGAATAAATCGTTGATGCATCGTTGAAAAAATCGGTCCAGTGAGATCTGAGAAAAAGTGACAACAGACTCAAAAAAAAAAAAAAAAAACACATAGTATAATTAATACCTTCTCAGCTATGTATCGAAGCTAAAAAAATTGATAAAAATGTTAATTTTATTAAAATATTGAAGATTTATTAGTTAGATCTTTCCCATTTAATATTGTTCTATTTGAATATTACGATAAATGAATAAAAATTTTATCATTAATTTTCTTTATAATTTTTTCTAATTTCTCCGTAAAAATTTCATTACTAAATTATTAAATATCAATTTCAACCTAAATTTAATTACTATAATTAGTATTTGTTCATAAATTACACATATAAATCAAAGAGCTACTTATCAAAATATAATTAAAGAAATAGAAGTTGATATTGCATTTGGATTCCAAATTTTGGAATAATCCATAATTTTTTTGTATTTTATTAAATTAATTGTACTATAATTTTGTTTTTCAAGAATAATTATATATTAATAATTTTCTTTTATTTTAAGACTGTAAATTTGTCAAGTGTACTAATGATGCAAAGTTTTTCGATTCAGAATGGTTTTACAATCAACTTACTAATATAAGTCTTCAAATAATGGAAATTAAAGACGATATTACTCAAAATGTTATATCTGATTCAATAATTATTTTGCAATATTGTTATCTCATACCTGAAGAATATCCAGACGAAGAAATGCTAGAAGATTTCAAAGATATTAATCCAAGGTATTCATCAGAACAAATATTAAAGTTACGAAACTATCTCGTAACTAATCATGAAAATATTTCTGTTGAAAAAGAAATGCGTGATGAGTTTTGGATAAAAGAATTAAATGAAGTTGAATATAATATGCTTGCAAGATATTACGAGCGATTAAATTTGGATCCAAATAATCAAATGACGTTACGTTATCACTACACAATATTATTCCGTGATTTTGTGAATATAAACAACAGTGCAAATAATAAGAAAAAGATGAAGTCTTGGAAAGCATGTAATTGTACAGTTTATAAATTTTCGGGGCCTATTCATAGGTAGGGAAGAGCAGGTCATGTTGACACATAGGCATATAATCATTTTGGATTAAAAAAATATTTAAATGAACACATATGTTTATTTAAATCGAATGTATATTTTCCTTGCAATTTTATATAATATTGTTGTTCTCAGATAGAGTCATCATGTCCATTTTCTAATTTAAATATTTTTGCATTTAATTTTTAATCATTACCTAGATTAGACTAAGGTATGAGGAGTATATCTAAAGTAAAGTCTCCTTTAATTTTATTACCACTAAATAACATTTATGTACAAAACATTATACATCGTTGAGAAGTTTGAAACCTAAATTATTTTTCTACGTAATCGTTATTTACTTCCATGAATTTCCATGTCCATACATCAGCTTTCTTGAACCAGGTTCCTACCACTTTATGTAGATAGTTACAACCGCTTTTCATTGTTTTCAATTTTCTTCTACCAAGAAATTTTTTAAGGCAGGAAATATGTGTTATATATCAGGAAATTATTTGACCATATGTCAACCAAATTCTGCTAAGTGTGATGTTGTCACTGAGGGCCAAATCTTATGAGAGAAACAGTTTCTTATGTGCTTTTTAGGATTTCTAATATATTTATACTAACACAATAAACCAATAAAATACCATAATAGAATAAAGCATAGCAATAACTATACCACAAATTTTTCTGATTATTTTATATCATAGAGGTTCAGAAACAGATCTAATTAATAACTTATATAACTTTTAATTCTTAGAAAAGAGTTATTAGTTAAATTTTTTCACCTTTTATACCCTTCTATTTGAGTATTATTACTAATCAGGATATAATTAAAAAAATAGGAGTTGGTATTGTTTTTGGAATAATCCACATATTTTTTTTGTATAATATTAAATTAATTGTTTAATAATTGTGTCTTTCATTCACTGATATATATTAATAGTTTTCTTTTTTTTAAGACTGTAAAATTGCCAAGTGCACTAATCATGAAAAGTTAATCAATTCCGATTGGCTTTACAATCAACTTGTCAATATAAGTCTTCAATTAAAGGCAATTAAAGACGATATTACTCAAAATGTTATATCTGATTCAACACTCATTTTGAAATATTGTTATCTTATGCCTGGACAAAATCCGGACGAAAAAATGCTAGAAGATTTCAACGATATTACTCCTAGGTATTCACCAGAACAAATATTAAAGCTACGAAGTTACCTCAAAAATAATTATGAAAATAATTATGAAAATAATTTTGGTGAAAAAGATATGCGTAATGAGTTCTGGGTAACAGGCTTAAATGAACTTGAATATAATATGCTTACAAAATATTACAAGCGATTGAATCTGGATCCATGTGATCAAATGATATTTCGTTATCATTACACAATATTATTCCGGGACTTTGTGAATATAAAAATGCATTATATTATGTCATAATGATAACTATTATAATAAAAACATTATAAATTGATGAAATTAATACTTTGTTATATACTACGTGTATTATTAATAATAATGATAAAAAAATAGTATACTATTAATTACAACATAACAACAAATTAATAACAACTCGTACTCGTGCATTCAGCCGAAGTTCAATAATTTACTAAATACTAAACCTATTTATATTTCTTGTTATAATATCATTATTATTATATATAAATCTGTTAAAAAAGTATTAAAGTTAAATTTTCACAAAATAAAAAAATTAATATTATGTTAACATAAAGTAAAATTTTAGCTTCGATGCAAAGCTGAGAAGGTATTAATTTTACTATGTGTTTTTTTTCTTTTATGTCTGTTGCCACTTTTTCTCAGCTCTTACTGGACCGATTTCTTTCAACAATACGTCAAAAGATCACAAATTGTATCTAGTTGAAGACATTACACTTAAAAATTGAAAAATTTTCCCTTGTTCCCCGCAAATGGGGGAAATATCCAAAAAAACTAAAAATTTAAAAATCGATAAATTTTGTCATTTTTTTCACTTTTTTTTCTTAAAACTTCCATAACTTTTTCAAAAATCAACAAATCAACATAATTTTTTTTATACTAAAACCTTAGATATTTCCCTTTTATTTGATATCATTTTTATGAAATTTCAAAGTGGCCTACTTGAAATCTTGCACACCCAAAAAAAAAAACTGAACTAACGCCCCTGATTTAAAATAGCAACTTTTTTACAAAAACTAACTTTTTCAACTTAATTTTTGAATATGTTCCGGAAATACTGCGTCCTTTAAACATATATCAAATTAAAGCTTATTTTATGTACTATAAAATGAAAAAAAAAAATTTGTCCCGACACTTTATCTTCTACATGTAAACGGTTGCCGTAGTTAAAAAAACACTATTTTTGTGTTAAAATTTTCGATTTTCGATTTTTAATTTTCAACTTAAAAATGCTATAACTTTTCGAAAAATGCATGTATCAGCACAATTTTTTTTTTTCTAAATACATTATAAGTACATCTTCCATTTGACATACTTTTTATTAAAATTAGACAATTTCCCCTTATATAGGGGGGGTTCAAACTTTGAAACATTGTATAAAAAATAGAACTTTTTCAACTGAACTTTTGAAAATGTTCCGGAAATACTGCGTCCTTTAAACATATATCAAATTAAAGTTTATTTTATTTACTATAAAATGAAAAAAAAAATTGTCCTGACACTTTATCTTCTGCATGTAAATGGTTGCCGTACTTAAAAAAACGCTATTTTTATGTTAAAATTTTCGATTTTATATTTTCAACTTAAAAGTGCTATAACTTTTTGAAAAATGTAATTATCAGCACAAATTTATATTATAAAACAAATAAATATAAGTGCATTTTATGTCAGAATATCCTGAACAATATGAAAGTAGATATTAATATCTCATCAAAAAACTTTTAGAATTAAATATTTTGAGTACATATAGAGTTATTCTTTGAACACTAGCTACTCAATTTCTCTTAAAATAATATTTTTTTGTACGCTTTTTACTGAAACCTTAGATATTTATCAGTTTTAAAACATTTTTTATGTTCATTAATTATATCTTATTGGGGTATCAACTTTATTTTTAATCATACATTGAGAGCTTTAGACTTAGGCCGTACAACGGATCGAATCAAAAAAAGTCGATCTTCGAAACTTTAATAAGAACCATATTAACTTTATTTAATACATTAAAATGAACATTTTGTGAAAATTTGAGATTTTTAAAAAATAATTTCTGGTAGCTCTTTTTAGTATTTTGACTAAAAATATCCCAAAAACAAAAAAAAGGTCTCTATTATTCAATTTTTGGTCAAATATTATAATTAGTATATTAAAATTGTTTGATTTTTACTGTAGAATATAAATTTTTCAGTTTCAAAATTTTAAGACAAAAATTGATAGTCAAGATATTATATTAACGTCATTATATGAAATATTTCTAGTAGGTCTCAAGTAAGCCTAAAGATTTTTAAAATTTTTTTTTTAAGCAATTTGTCTGATATTTATGTATATTATAGACAAAAAATTATTCACTAATCTTAAAAACTTAAACTTTTTTTTTATAATTTATGCATAAGCTAAAAAATACAATATTCTTAAAAATATGTAAACAAATAATTTGAAATACCGAATACTTTTTAAATTAGAAACTGCTAATTTAAATTGCGTACAGAACATTTAATTTTAAGGTAATATATTATTTTTGCCATCCATCTTGCTCTATGAATTGCTGCTGTTTTTTTCAATGAATAACAAACAATGTTAGCTGATCACAAGTGATAGATGTTTAATTGAAATTAGATTAAATTCGATAACATTATTAATCATATTTTTTATATTATCGTATGTTTTAGCTTATGCATTAATTATAAAAAAACCCAGCACAGGGGGGTCGCGGCACAGTGGTGACGTGGCATAGTTGGATCAAGTAAATGATATCTGACAGTGATTAAAATCACTATCAAAAATAAACGCTTCGATGCAAATCTTTAGATAGTGTTTAATTTTAAAAAAATTGGTGTTTTATTCCAAAAGCTACTTGATCTGCTGGTTCCTTATTAATATC